AATATTTCTGGAAATAGTAAAATTATATTTGTGTAATGAAATCAGTAATCATCTACTATAACGAATAATTCGTTAACACTATAACGAATTATTCATTATACATACCGTATAATTCGTTATAGCGTTAATGAAGATTCTTATAATGAAGTTCTGATCAGCTAGATCAGCAACTTCATTATATTGAGGTGTGACTGTATATAACGAATAATTTGTTATAGTATTAACAAATTATTTACTATAGTATAATGAATTATTTGAGTATAATAGATGATTACTGATTTTATACACAAATATAATTTTACTATAATATAATTTTTCTAGAAATATTTTTATGTTATTTTGTAAATTCTAGTTATTTTATTTTAATATATAATCTATTAATTATTATATGATCATTTTATTAATTTATTAAATTTTTTTTAAAAAAAAAAATTTAATTTATCATTTTTTAAGGAAATTAAAAAATAAATAAAAATAAAATAAAAATAAAATAAAAAAAAATAAAATGAAATAAAAAAATAAAATTAAGAAAACTAAATTAAACAAAAAAATGAAATTAAAAAAATGAAATGAAACTATAAAATGAAATTAAATGAACAATACAAAACGAAAAATAAAATTAAATAAATGAAATAAAACTATAAAATAAAATTAGAAAAATAAAATAAAATGAAAAACAAAATTAAAAAAATGAAATTAAAACGAACGAAATGAAATAAAAAAATAAAATTTTTAAAAAAATTAAAATGAAATAAAAAATTTTTTAATAATTATTACTTTGCAGATATATTGCAATTTCATTTTATATTTTGGATTTGCCTCATAGACATATCTTATATTTCAGGTTTGTCTTATAGTAAGTAAATTACAATTTTTCCTTCAAGTATACTTCGATTTTAAAAAAATTTTGTATACTAAATTTCTTCATTTCAACTTGCATTAGCAAATAGAATATGTTGTATCATATTTTTATTTATTTGTTAGATTATATTCTATTAAAATTTCATTTTATTGTCTTTGTATCTAACATGATACTTTTCATTTTTCCTTCTTCTTTTCTCAACTATACTTTATTGACAAAGATAATTTTGATTAATAGGTTCAATATCACTAAAGTTATTAAACTAAATCTAAAGATTTTGCAAATTGTTTAATAATAAAGATAAATTTAAAAAAATTATATTAAAACCTTATTAAAAAATCTGTAAAATTCTAAAAAAAATAAAATCATATCAAAGTTTATAAAATGTGAAATTATATCAAAACCTTAATAAAAATTAGTGAAACTAAAGTTTAGATATTTTGTTAAATTTAAAATGAGTTTAAACAAGTAACTTTAACTATCATTTATAATGAAACTTTAATTATATTTTCAGCATTTAGCTAGGTATAGTCATTTATTTATATTTACTATAATTAAAAAGTTTTAATTTTAAAATCTCATAAAATGTAAAATATAAATTAGAATATCTATATATATAATAAAAATCTATATTAATAATAACGAATTACTTTTTTAATTAAAGGTATTAAATAATAGAAAGGTATAATTTTTTACTTAATTTTTATTTATGTTAATATAAAAAAAAGAACTGATAAAATTTACCTTTAGATCTATAGTGTCTGATTCATATAGAAATTTTTAAATCAGCAGAATTTAAGATATTGTTAAAAGTAATTCTAGAACTTTTAGTATAAATCCTTTAATTTGATCAATAAGTTATGTGAATCAGTATTATAAAAAAGTTTGAAAATAAATAAACATAATAAATACTAAGGATACATTTCTGAATTAAAAAAATAAGTATTTTTCTGTTATAATTTTATCTTATGATAATCAATATAAATTTTACTTGGTTAAGTAAGTTTTAATTAGTATTTATATAAGATATATAAAATAATAACTAACTTACTTTATAACCTATCTTTTTTTTCTAAATAATATATTAAAATGTAAAATATTAAAAGTTAATTTTAAAAAAATTATTTATTATAAATCAATTTTAAAAATTATCAAATTTATTTTTTTAATAATAAATATTTTTTTTATATTTAAATATTTCTTTATTAAAAATTAATACAAAACTTTTATAAAGAAATTATAAAAAATAAAAGATGATTATTTTTATAAGATTAGTTAAAAAACCAGAAAATTATTTTATAAAATCATTTTAATAAAAATTTTTAACCAATTTTTTAAAATAAATTAATAAACAATTTTTAAGTATTTAATAATAATATAATAATAATAAAAAAAAATATTAAATATAATATAATTTTTTTTGATTATTTATTTCAATTAATTTATTATTATAATAAAATAATTTTTAATAATTGCCTTTTATAAGCTAAAAATTTTAAAAATAGGTTTAAAATATAATATAATTAGAATACTTTATTACAGATTTTAAATATATATTTTATTTAAAAAAATAAGTATTATTATTTAACAAATTATATAAATTTATATATTTAATTTTTAAATATATTATACTTATTATTTTAAATGGTTTTTATTTAAATTAAAGAATTAATATCTTTATTCTATTAATTATCTTAAGAATTAAAAATAATTATAAAGTCTTTTTGGATTGTTTTTTTTTTTTTTTTTTTTTAGTAAGATAGATATAGAAAAAATTGAATAATAAAAACCATATTTGGTATATATATTATACACGTGATTATGCGTAATTTACGCGATATTGAAATATTTTTTTCGTAAATTCTATGCACTTTTACCTACTATTATTGTTAACTTGAAACCATTTTGAACACTTTGAAATGTTGAATAAAGAATCATATTCTTTAATAATAACATAATACTCGACGCGTTTCAAAACATGCCTACTCAAACCTTCTCTGCAAAAATTATAGAATCTAAATTGTCTCTTTTTTACAGATTGATGTACAAACTGTCTAAGGGAAATGACGAGCTTATTTTTGGTGTGTACCGTGATAAACTTGTTATTACAATAAAAACCAACTCCTTTAAAATTTTGATTACTTTTAATCGCAAAGTATTTGACAGTTTTCATGTGAATAGCCCAAGAAGTTATACCATATTTTCAAGTAACATTCGAGATGCATTTTCTGGAATTTCTGCGAATTTGAGTTCATTGCGAATTATGATTGAAGAATCAGATGGTCTTGCCGGAGCAGAAGATATTATGAAAATTGAAACCAATAGAAAAACGCGATCATTTCGAAATTCTTATAATATAGTTTGTAATAAAATATCCGAAATTGAGGGAGAAACCAATACAGAAACTTCATTAGAGGAAAAAGAGGAAAATCACTGGTCAATTAATTCTGAGATATTAAATAGAGAATATTGGCCTCATAATTGCAAGAATGAATATATTAGGTTCTTGTTTGCAGAGGAAGCTTTAAGGATCATATATTCAATCAATTTATCTGATGGTAAGTTTTCATCTGAATCAAGGTATTCTATACCAAGATCACGATTTGAGGATTATAATGTCACTAATCAAATGGATATCAAAATTAATCGAAAATCTTTTGAGAGAATAATGAATCTTGTACGTTCATTGAAATGCAATTTAAATGCTTACTTTAGTGATACAGATACAGATGATCCATATCAACCTCAACCGTTTTATTTATGCGGCGAATTTGAGAAATACATCAAAATTGAAGGAGAAATTTTTGGAGATCATTTAAACCGTGGGAACGATCCGGAAAGGCCACCCGAATGGGAGATTGAAGCTCTATTGAATAATACGAATCAAGTAAATCAAAATTTAAATAATGGCAACGGAATAGAATATCAAGTGGCAGGGATATTTCGCGAAGATAACACAGAATTTTCAAATTCTAATACATGTATTAATGAGAGTAATATGTCAAGAGAATCTAACTCAAGAGAAAATCACACATTGGACGATAATGTTAGTGACAACTACCATTCGAATTATAGTAGAACAAATACCAGCATTAATAGTACCACAGGAACAATTCCTAGTATGTCTACTTCGCGAAATGATAGTAGAAGCAATTACACGGGAACGTCTTCACACTCTTCCTCTGGCTCATATATTCCCCCCGGTGAAGAAATATCGAGAAGATTAGGCGCGATTAATTTTAATGATCATCGAGTTAGCGGTATGAAAAGGAATTTTGATGTGGCTGATTTGGATATTGAAGTTAAACGCGAGGACAATGTTAGACAAAGGACAATTAGACTTAGTTCAAATGATGACGTTATGGATGATGAATAGTATCTGTGTTACGTTAGAAAATAATAAAGGAATTAAACATTCACGTGATACATTAGATTAAGTATCACCTTTTCCTTGTACAACGTCAAACCAAATATATATAAAATTTTTTTTTGAATTTTGTTTAACTTAAAATTTCTCCTCTCACAATGTCACATCTCAATCATTTAGAAGAAACATTATCAGAACAACCATTAACATCACTTTCATTAACACATGTAGAATTTGATCCAAATGACCCACTTTCATATGCCTTTGCATATGTGACATTATCTCCTTTAGTTATAGTAATAAGTTATATTAGTACTATTATTGCCAGGAGAGAATTAATGATGATTAATATGTTTTTGGGTCAATTATCTTGTGAAATATTAAATTCCGGGTTGAAAAAATGGATAAAAGAAAAAAGACCTAGTGGTAATTAATAAAAGAAATTGGGTTAGGATACTAGAAGAAATGTAATTAATGTTTATTTTAAAATAATAAATATTATCCATAGATAAAATTGGTATAGGATATGGAATGCCTTCTTCCCATGCCCAATTTATTGCTTATTTTACAATTTTTTCTAGTATTTATTTATGGTACAAGTGAGTAAATGAATTAAATTATTTAATTAATTATTATTATTATTATTATTATTATTATTTTTCTTAAAAATCGATTTTTTTTTTTTTTTTATAGAATCACCTTTCGTAATAATTTATGGAAACTTCCATTAACCTTTGGGTTGATTATATTTTCGTTTTTAGTTTCTTATTCAAGGTAATAATTATAATTAATTTATCTCCTTAATTACTTTAATCAACTATTTTTTAACACTTTTAAGAATCTTTTCTTAGGATATATTTACATTATCATACAACGAAACAAGTAATTGTAGGCAATATATTTGGTGGGACGTTTGCAATATTTTGGTACCTTTTAATAGAAAAATTAATCAGACCTTTGGGTATATTTAAAACGATTATTTATTCTCCTATTGCTAAATATTTTTATCTAAAAGATAATACTTTTGCTAAAGATATCATTAGAGTTGAGTACTTGAATTGGTTAGCTTTAAATAGAGAAAAAGAAGAATGAAAATTTTTAAAATCGTGTTTATAGGTTGATTGTTTTAAAACTCCATAACTAGATCAAACCATTTCTCGGGCCCTATTTAAAAAAATATGTATAATTCTTTTTTTTTTGGAAAAAAAAAAAAAGTGATTTCGCGAATTTATATCACTTACCATGAATGACTTGACTTTCCCCCATTAATTTAAATCCAACATTTCGATATAAAGGAATTAGATATTCATGAGCTAGTAAAGCACACCTCTCATATTTTACATCTTCGCCAACATCACCAGATCCTTTCAATGAACTTATATATTCTTTTAATAATTTAGTAGCTACGCCACCTCTTCTATATTTTTTATCTACGCAAACGGAGTGTATACAAACAGTTTTACCCTCCTGTTCGTGTAAAGACATAGATTCATGAGTTAATGATTTCGATAACGTTGATGTCGATACAATAAATCCAATCAACTGTAAGGATAATGATGATGATGATGGAAGATATGCACCCATGAATAATTCTGGTGCTACTTTTTGTCGATATTGTAAGGTTTCTAATGATGCCGCTTCTTCGGGCGGATATCCTATTTTTTTTATTTAATTTTTTTTTTTTTTTTTAAAAAAAAAAGGTTATGAATAAAAAAAAAAGTTTTGTAAAAAGATATTTAGAAAATATTTAATATATTTTTAGAACCTTCAGACTCTAATTGAAATGCTCTTTCAACATCTGACGCATCTACATGTTTAAAAATCAATGAATCTATATAATTCTCTTTATCGATCGTAGTTGACATTTTTGAAAGAATTTTTAGAGAAAAAAAAAGAATAATTAAGCATAATTTACAGTGATACGTTACGCAAACGCACGTAGCAACAGTTATTTCGGAACATCATTGTCCCAAATTAAAAATTCATCTATTTATTATTAAGATTAAACTTTATAAATAATTTGTTTGAAATATTTTTTTTTTATAAAAAAAAAAAATGCGAGATTTTCTGTTCTGACCAGAAAAATTAAAAAGATGTAACAAAAAAAAAATAAATAACAGAAAGGATCATCTTTTCAAATTCGTCATCACGAAACAAAGACAAAAGTAATTAGGCCTCATTCACTTCAAGAATGGTCATTTCAACTTTTTCTAATAATTTTCTACTTGCGCTCCTAACCAATTTATACATCCCCCAAGTGGCTTTAAGGGTACCAAGAATGATGATAATTGTGAAAAAAAAAACTGTAAAACCATCAGCGCGTCTTCCGCTACCGCCTCCACTAGCTGATCCGATCCTAAAAGTATTCCATGAAGGGAGTGGCCCAAACCACATTAAAGAAAAGAACAATTGTAAGAATCCTACAAGGCCTACAAACATAAATCCTAACACGACATGAAAGTAGTCAATAGTAAAGATCGTTGATACGGTGATAGGTTCTGTAAATAATGGTTCTACTAAATCATCTTCACTTTCTTCTTCATCCTCTAAATCCTCTGTAAGAGGGAAGAGATAAAGAAAAAATTTTGCAAGAAACCCTCCCAAAAAAACACAAAGTGCAAATAATGATAATGTGACAAGTGTGAGAATAACTTTGACAATTTTAAAGGATAATAATATAATAAATTTAATAGTTAGATTTTGTTTGTTTATTCTGAACGAAAAAAATAAATAAATAAAACACTACTATTTTTGCACTTACATTCATTAGTAGCGAATTTAGCCATTTTCGTTCTTCGGAAAGCATATTTGTATTTACATTCATCGCACTGAAAAAAACTGGTTTTCTTTTGACTTTGTAACCTCCAATGATTTAAACATTCCACATGAACATACTTTTTTTTTTAAAAAAAAAAAAATTTATTATAAAAAATTCTATAAAATCAAATTTATAATTCAAGGAAAAAAAAAAATTATATATAAAATAATAATTACCCTCATAGTCCCTTTACATTGACACGGTGAAATAAGACGGCCAAGGTTATCTTCCTCTTCTGAACCGGCAAAACATATACGACACATTTTATCTTCTGGTGCATTAGCAGAACCGTTAATTCCAGAACCTTCAGACTGAATGGAGTCTGTACCTCTTGCCTTTGCAATTATTTTCTTTACACTAGGGTCTTGTGGTGTTCTCGTAGAAGAATCTTCTTGTTCAACAATATATCCTTCTGTGTCTTCGTCATTACTTTCGAGTGAAAGGTCGTTACAATGTTCCCATGTATACTTATTTGTTTCATAGTTTACAGAATTTGAACGTCCAAAGGAAATTCTCTCCTGTTGAAGAACTTCATTCTGAGACTTACGATTGTAAAAACCTCTCGAACTATTTTGTTCTGTCATGAAATGAAAGTTTAGGGGAAAAAGGCTCGTTTTTCACCTGATCGATCTGTTTAACTTGTCATATTAAATTGAACCACAATGTACTACAAACTCGTGTATTTTATCCGACCATCGGCCTTCGCCGATGCCGATCAGTCGAATTTTAAGATTACATGATTTTTTCACATGAAAAAAAAAAAAGTTAATTTCCGTATTATTAATTTTGCCATTTTCAACACAACCCTCTAACCCAACCCCGCTTGATAAGATAAAAATAGGAGCAGCCACGGCGAACCATGACCACCCCAACAACCAGAAATTATGCGCTCGAGACATCCATGAGGATGTTCGGAGCAGCGGCCACCAGCGATGTGCAATGCCAGCAACCATCACCCGCATCCCTGCCTTTTTGATCACAGAGGATGCCGCGCCAGGTAAGTATGAGTTGAAAGGATTGCAAAAAGGGTTAGATATATAGTTGTTTTTCGGATATTAGAGAATTATGGGATTAGTGATCAAGTGACTTTGACATCCGATGATCAGGTTTTGCCGCAGATCAGTGCACGTTATTTTTTCCATTTTAAAAACAAATGACTTTCTTTTTTTTTTTAAAACGTGTAAGACCATCTGAAATTCTTTCCTTTTCTTTTCTTTTCTTTTTTTTTTTCTTGTTTTTTTCCTTTACTATTTCCCCGTTGCCTTGCAAAAAAAAAAAACTTATTTACTTCGGAACCTGATTTTCCTAGAAACACTCCCATATATCATCTAGTTCAAAAGTATGGTTTTCATATTTGCCGAAATTCAATTCTTTTAATATTGGATTTATGGGAGTGAATGAAGCATCATTGGGTGGTGTAATACATTTACGTACGACCGAGGAACATCCATTTTATATAAGCAAGATAAATATTAGATTTTTAGGACAAAAAACAAGAGGATGGTCAGAACCTTACAATAATGATTTCGAAATTAAACGTAACTTTGAGAAAATATGCGATATCAATGTAAACTTATGGACAAGCGACGAAAACGACGAATTTAAAAAGTTGCGAAATTGGATTTACCATTTAACATTCCTTTACCCACCTTCAATGACTTATTTACGTAGGGATAATAATTGATTGGTTTGTCCGATATAAATAATTTATCGTAAATTTCTATTTAGTCTTGAATCAAGAAAGAATATTTCAATTATGGACCCAATAATAGAGACAAGAGTTATGTTATTAGCAAAAATTATAAATGGAGATTCGATTCATAATTCATTAGAAGATGATAATGAATGAAACGCTGATATTTATTAACTTTATCATTGGTAATAAGATTTTATTATGTGATATGACCGGGAAAAATTCAATTAAAATCTCGTTAATGAAAAAATGCATGTAGGATTAGCTTAGCTCTTTCTGAAGAAACAAATTCCTTTCTATTTAGTCAAATCCCTCTTCGAAATTCATCAATTACTCAACGTGAACACCAACGAATATCAAATCGTGACATAGTTGTACATGAGCAAATATCAGACCAACCCCCTCCTCCTTATAACGAACCTTCATTGCCCCTAACCCCTGAAAATTTACCCCTAATTACATATTATCTCCCTCATATTTCAAATATTTCAAAAATACTCCCAGAAATAATATTATATAACTGCAGAAACTTCTGAATCAAATTCTAGCTATTTATTCGGAGTTTTCTAGCAATGAAGATGACTTTCAGTCAACTTTTAATTTCGGAATTTAATATACGATTGTATATAAAAAAAGTTTTTTTCTGTAAAAAAGAAATAAAGTATCCTCCCTCCTTAATAATATAAATAATCCTTAACCTAAATTTAACCCAATGTGTGAGATCAAATAATGATATAAAAAACACATGACTATTTTATTTATATATATTTTTGTAGAATAATAAATAAATAAACAAATATGTAATTAAATTTAATTAAACTTTTTACCAAATGAAATCAATAATATTTAATTTTATAACTTATAATTTTAAAATAATAAGATTCATTTATCTAAACATTTTAATGTGTTATTATAAAATATAATTGATTATTTACTACGTTTTAAATTACTTTATTAAATAATTTATAGGATAGTTAAACTTTCTAAAGAATTATATAAAGAATTAATTATAAATGTTAAAAAATAAAATCAAATATAAATTTTAATTTTGATATAATATAAAATAAATTTATTTTATTTTAAAATATAAATGTATTTATTAATTATTAAAATAAATATTTATATTTTATAAATATTAATTATATTTATTTTATATATTTTTTTAATATTAATAAATTTTTAAGAGAAATTATAATAATTAAAATAATATTAATATATAATTCAATACATTTAGATTAAAAAATATTTATTAATTTTAGATTAACTTTATTTATTTATAAAAAGTTAAATTGGTATGTTATAGAATTAATTAAATTTAACATAATAAAAATTATTATTATTCAAAAAAAAACTTTAATTATTAAAATTCAAAATATTACATAATATTTAATTTAAATTAATAAATAATTATTATTAATTAAGATTGCTTGTCTAAACTCATTTTGGATTTGGTAAAATATCTAAACTTTAGTTTTGCTAATTTTTTATTAAAGTTTTGATATAGTTTCTCATTTTTATAAGCTTTGATATAGTTTTACCTTTTTTAGAATTTTGTAGATTTTTAATAAGGTTTTAATATAATTTTACTAAAATTTTATCTTTTATCATTTAGATAACTTAAAAACTTCTAGATTTCATATAGCAACCTTATTATTAATATATTACTTTATAATAAAATAAAAACCTGTTAAATTAATTTATATTTTACTTTTTATATTATATTTTTAATCTTAAATTATAAAGAAATTTTATTATAAAGGATAAATTTAAAGATTAGCAGTTGTATAAATATTTTTTTTTAAAAAATAAATATATTATAAAAAAAAAAAAAATTTTTGAATTAATAATTTAAATATAATATAAATTATTATGTTTAATTAGCATTTTTAATTTTATTGTAAATGATTATATATTTATTAGTTTATTAGAAAAATTTTATTTTAAATGATTTGCAAAACTTTTAAGTTTATTTAACAATTTTATTTATATTTAAAAATTTTTCAGTTATTAATTCAATTTAAATGAAATAAATATTATTAAATACAATTATTTTTTTAATATTAAATAAAATTTAATATTATTATTTATTTATAATTTTTAAACTTAAACTTATTACTAATAAAAATTTTATTTTATATTAAATAATTAATATAATATTTATTTAAAATATTATAATATGATAATAAAAGATTGATAAATTATCTCTTAAATGATAAATATAAATTATTTATAAATTATTTTATAAAGAATATAATATTTTAACATCTAATGATTATAAAAGATAAAATAAATTTTATAAATATTAAGATATACCTTATAAGAGTATTTTATTTTTAAAATTAATAAAAAAAAATAAAATTTAGTTTGTTAGATTCATTTCATTAAGATTTATTAAATAGTATAATTTTTTATTTTTTAAAATCATAGATAGTAGTTAATAAGCTTAAAAATTTTATCTTTTTTTTTTTTTTTATAATATATTTATCTTTAAAAAATCACTAGTTAATTACATTATAAAATTTATTATAAAAGTATAATTTTTAATTATTAAATAAAATTGCAGGTAAAGGAATAATTATTTTTTAATATATATATATTAGTTAAATTTAAAACTTTGAATGATTATCCAATTTAAATTTTTATTAAATAAATTATTTGAAGTATCAAAATTAATTTTAATGTATTTTATTAAATGGTATAATAAAAATTTTTATTATAAATCCTTGGAAACTTAATTTAATTTTAATTAATTTTAAAACACATTAAATTAAAATTTTTAATTTAACTAATCTTAATAAATTATTCCCCGGGGTTTTCTTTTTTTTTTTACAGCAACGTTACTAAGAATAGAACCTAAAATGTTTCAAATGTACACTACACCTTTTTCCGCATCTTTATTCCTTTAAAACCCCTCCGGAAATACGGTCATTCAACGCTGATCGGGATTACCGGTATAACAAAGAGAAAGTTCCCTCTATAAGTTCCAAAAAAGGAAATCTATAATGGTACTTGTACACAAAGATTGCTTAGTATTTATATAGAATGATTTTTTTTTCCACTTTTTTTTTTCTCTTTCTTTTCTTAGTCATTTATTCTTTTTTTTTATTCTTTGTTTTTTCCTCAAAAATGAAATTATCTATAATTACATTTCTTTCAATTTTCCTTTCATTATTCGTAGTTACAATAGCCGAACCCATTCATAAAGGTAAGTTGACAATAAAAAATTTCGATAAATATAAATAGAAACAAAAATTTATATATTTATACTTCAAATAGTCAGACGTTTATCAGTATTTCCAGTGTCAATAGCCTTACCAGAATCAGATGGACCTATAGCAAATGATCCAGAAAAACCGGAAAAACAACCAGAACAAGAAGCACCAGAACAACCAAAAGAAAGTAATCCACAGGAACAACCAGATGAAGATCCGCAAGAACAACCAAAAGGAAGTGATCCAGAAGAAGAGTCACCAAATCCAGTTGAACCTCCATCATCATCACCAACAAGTGATTCAAAAGGAATTCCTGTAGAAACTCCCCAAAACAATTCAGACGGAACTCCTGTAGAAACGTCCCCCACCACACCAGGCGGAACTCAGGTAATTAATTAATTACAGTTAGTATTCAGTGAAAAGTTTTAACTGATTATGATATTATAGACCGAAACATCAGTACCGACAAGTACAGAATCCTCCACACCATCATTTGTACCAAGACCTTCCATAATATCTCAAAGTAATGCCGCGGTTAACAGATCTTTTGGATTTGTTTGTATATTACTTGTCATGACCAATACTATTCTTACTCGATTCTACTAGAATATATAAAAATATATAAATATTGCGACTTAAAAACTCATATCTTTATTTAATGTTCTATACGAACCTAACGAACAATTAATGATTACTAATAAATTAATCTAGCTATAGTTGTATTTGTGATTTTATTCAAAAATATTTTCCTAGAAAAAAAGGAACGCAATACGGTAAATAAAGAAAAAAAAATATAATTAATTACACAATGAATAGCTGTCCAATTATGCCAATTATGGAAATAAACATGTTCCACTATTTACATGATAAAACGAGACCATATTTATCACTTTGCATTCTTTTAAGCCGAAAATTGGCGACCGAGGCTCTTGTTTTTGTTATAAAGATAAGGAAGTTTAAAGGATAATATCCTAAAGATATCATAAACTTGGATTTAAAATAGTGTTGAAGTAGTAATAGGTAGTTTTTTATAAAATTGTATAGTAGTATTAATTGTAAAATAAAAATGACAATCGTTAAATTGCGATAGTTACACAACTATTGTATCAATTAAAACGAACAACGTCTCATTTTAAGGCTAAGAAGCGATAGATTTTATTAAAAATAAATTAATATGATTTTCATTCACCATTTTTCTCATTAACCTCCTTACAACGCTGTAACTTTGAGTTTACAAGATTAATTATAAGGCTATTTGGAATATCTCCCCAAAAACGCTCTATTGTTTGACCTTTTAACAATTGCTCAATGGGATTTAGATCTGGTCTTTTAGAGGGCCAATCCATAACTCCGGAACTTCATTATCAATGAATTCCTTAGCAACAATACTAGCATGCTTTGGATCATTGTCTTGTTGCAGCCGTCATCTACCTCGTAACAATCTAATATTTCCGTATAGAATTTTCCATCCATTATACGCCCTAAAACAAAAAGACTGGTGGTACCCTTTATACAAAAACCACCACAGGCGAATATTTTACTTCGGTCCTTTGGCATTGGACGAAATGGCCTTGCATTTTTACACCAATGCTTTATCGTATTATGGAATTGGAAAGCCGTTTCGTCACTAAATAGGGTCCTTTTCCAATCATCATCCTTGTGTTTTTGAGTTCATTCAACACGTTTTTGCTTATGGGCAGGTGTTAGCATTGGTTTACGAAGGGAAGTGAAATTTCGATATCGAAATTGTTGAGCGGGAGACATTTACTCCAATATCTTTCAATAGACCGGAATGCACTTGGTGTTATTTTTTTTAATAATCTTTGTCAGTGAGTGTATTTCAGTCCCTTCCTCCAGAAATGTAAAATTGTTTGACGCTGGGGTTTCTTGTTTAGATGAAGTCATCAATAAATTAGAAGTTTTTACTCACGTATGGGAAAAGAAGTTTCGTTCGGAGGTGATAGAGTAATCGTAGGGCTTTTCACATGTACGACAAAAATTGGGTTAGCGTTAGTTATACTTGTCAATCCTTTTATAAAGAAATTATACGCTACTATTAGGAAAGAGCGAAATTACGAAATTTCATGTAATAATTACAATATGTTTTCTCACGCGTTAAACTTTCTTTTATGTAAAATAAAAGGATTATAAATCTCTAATAGCATGTCTTCTACGATGCCAAATGGCTGCAAATCCCTTTGACTTGCATAATATGTCAGTTTAAATACGAGAGTATTTTCATTTTAACAAAAAATGGAAACAACCTAACGTCATAACACTTTTTTATTCACACAACAGCCCTCAGCTTGAAATGAGACCATATATATCACTTGGCAGCTAATTTCATGTTAAATTTTTTTTTGTTGTGTGAAAAGGAACAAATTTAAAGAACACAAACACACAAAAATGAAACATTCACAAAAATGACAGTTTCAACAATCCAATTCCTCAAATTATTAAAATTGGTGTATTAATTGGTGCTAAAGGATGTAATCTCAAACCCATTGCCGAAGATACCGGTACATCCATTCATGTAAACACAAAAGTGAGTCCTGCACGAATTGAAATTAGAATCAGATGGAACTCGCTACCACCATCTGAAAATAGAGTTAACGAAGCAAGAGATCAATTAGATAATCTAATAAATAAATTATTGAAACGTTCAAATCATTCGATCGTCCGAAACGCTCAAAGGGTTCAAAGGGCTCGAGAACTCGAATCTCTTAACAAACTCAAAGAATTTAATTAATTATCAGGAATTTGATGAACCTTATGAAAAATATATCAAAAATTCCTTCAAAAAAGAAAAAAAATTTCAACAATTTAAAAATTGAAGCAGATGCAAATTACAATGTTTGAGGAAAATGTTCGCGGGGAATTGAATGTAAATGAAATTTTGTAATTTATGCATCCACTACCTAATCAATTTTTTGATGGTCATCTGATATCACAATATAAAAAAGAAATTCATTTAAAAACATATAATCGGAATTTTAAACTTGACAGACATTAAGAATTAGGAAAGGACGGGACGATAAGGCCTTGTTCATTTTTTTTTTTTCGTGTAATAATTACAAAATGTATAAAATTATCACGCGCGTTATCTTATATTATAAATAAAGGAATAAATATTATTATTATTATTTTTTTTTTTTAGAACAATTTTTAATTTCCTTTGTAACGATGTCTTCTTCAGCCACAAGTCCAAATTTTACTTTATTTAATGCAAATATTTTGTTGAATCAGGAATCGTTATTTCCATTTCAAATATAATTTTCTCTGTATCAAAACAAAACAGATACAAAATGGGTATAAACCAAACATCACGCATTAATTAACGCTAACTTTTTTTATATATATATTTCACAAACACAATAGCATATCTGTAAGTTGAAAATAAGACATTATCGGTATATCACTTTGCGTCAATAACCTGTTTTGAATCATGGGAATAGGTTTTTGTCTTATGGAAAAGGAAATTGTGAGATAATTGTCAAATAACATTATTTAAAAGAAGGCAAAAACATCAAAAATGAAACATTCACAAAAATGACAGTTTCAACAATTCCAATTCCTCAAATTATTAAAATTGGTGTATTAATTGGTGCTAAAGGATGTAATCTCAAACCCATTGCCGAAGATACCGGTACATCCATTCATGTAAACACAAAAGTGAGTCCTGCACGAATTGAAATTAGAATCAGATGGAACTCGCTACCACCATCTGAAAATAGAGTTAACGAAGCAAGAGATCAATTAAATAATCTAATAGATAAATTGTTGAAACGTTCAAATCATTCGAATCGTTCGAAACTCTCAAAGGACTCAAAGAGCTCAAAGAACTCAAATATTTCAAAGAACTCAAAAATTTCAAAGAACTCAAATATTTCAAAGAACTCAAAAATTTCAAAGAACTCAAATATTTCAAAGAACTCAAAAATTTCAAAGAACTCAAATATTTCAAAGAACTCAAATATTTCAAAGAACTCAAATATTTCAAAGAACTCAAATATTTCAAAGAACTCAATAACCCCAAAAAACCCAAAGAGCACAAAGAGCTCGAATCGCTCAAAAAGCTCAAAAAATAATAATCAGGCATTTCATAATGTTAAATTTTATGAAATTTATGAACAAGAAGACCTTCAAAAAAGAAAATATCGGAAAAACTTTTTCAACAAGTTAAAAATCGAAACAAAAGCAAATTATAATGTTGGAGGAAATTGTCGGTGGGGAATTGGATGTAAAAGAAATTTATGTAAATTTAGTCACCACCTAATCATTTTTTGATGGTCAAAATATAAAAAGAAAATTTAGGACCATTAAGAATTAGGAAGGGATATGGCGAGACGAGAAGGCGAAATAATCTTTATTATTTTTTTTTTTTTTTCGTGTAATAATTAATTACAAAACAAATGTACTTTCACGCGCGTTATCGTATATAAATAAATAAATAAATAAAGAGTATAAAATTATTTTTTCATCAATTTAATAATATTTACTTTCCTTTCCAACAATATGTCTTCTTCAGCAACAAGTCTAATTTTTACTTTAATTTGATGGCAAATAGTGATAAGGCTTCGACTCGTAGAATATTTTGTTGAATCATTATTAGGGATCGTTACTTCCATTTCAACATAATATTCATTTCCCGAATCCACGACCATGTTGATTTTATCACCTTCGACTTCTTTCGATGCAAGATATTTTTTTTCCGATTTAACTGGGGAACCACCATTCCATAATCTTGTATATTGTTTTATTCCAGCACCAACTTTCTTTATTTTAACATTTGGATTATGAAGTATAAGTTTAATAGGAAAGATGATCGTTTCACCTTTATCGAAAATGGTACAACCAATCTTCACGTCGTAACTAACACTATCTTTTCTAAACGCATTCCACTCAATAGCTTCGGGTTTATAAGGAATTTTTGCATACCTAGTAATTGGAATTGTGAATTTTATCACTTTTTTCTTTCCTTGTAATTTGAGAATATTAGATTTACGATAAATGACAACTACGATACGATAATATATTCTTCCCAACCCATCATCGTATTCGATAAGATTCGAAGAAGGTAAATTATTCTCAAGTTTAAATGAAAAAGGTAAATCCAGTTGATTAAGTTTCTCATAAGGATCTTTTTCGCTAAAATCTTTTTGATTTTTTTCTGCCCTCCAAATTAATTTTTCCTCCCTAGCAAATTCATCTTGTTCCGAATGAACAACGGATGTCGTATATCCACGAGCATTCGGTTGATATTCTGTCCAAATGATTTCTTCTTTACCAGAGAATATTATTTCAATCGCTTTTGCTATTAAAGGTTTTGTGGATGGGTAGTTAATTTTCAATACCCCTGACACTCTAGATGGTTCGATGCCTAAATATCCTTGCTGATATGAAATTTTCTTTGGAGAGAAATCTAGAAATACTTTGTTGCTTTGTTTATTTGAATCGTTGAAGGACATTGTAATTTCGAGTGGGGAGAAGGTAAGGGGGGAAAGCGTTATATAAGTTAATTAGATAAGGGGGGTTTTTTTTTTTGTGCAAATTTTTTAAATTATTTCTGTCAAGAAGGGTTCAAAATTTCAAACTTGTATGCTATATAAAGACAGAAATTAAAAATTCAAGTATCTTTATTTTTGTCGTGTTACAATAATGCACGAATGGGAATAGGAATGGGGATCTAAAAGTTTAACTTTAACCATTTTTGTGCATCTCTCAGAGGACGAATAATGAATTACAATCATTACAATGGAACGAACCGATTTAACACGTGCCTACCTCTTTTTTTTTTAAAAAAAAAAAAATAAAAATAAGAAAAAAGGAACCTCTTTTTTTTAAAAAAAGAAAGAAAGTAAAAGAACCTCTTAAACTTTTATCAGTTATCTATCACATTGAATCTAAATTGAATCTAAATTGAATCCTAAAATTTATTAAAATTTTTGACCAAAGTAATATTAATGTTTGCTTATCCCACGGTAAGGAAAATGTCATTTTTGAAAAATGATATATGAAAACCTATTTCCATAAATGGTCTCTATTATTTATTGTTGTGTTGTCCCTTATACCTTTTTGATCGTAACACCTTTATGAAGAATCTTTAAAAGTTATCTTTTTTAGATTTAATTTAATTCGTTTATTACAAAATAAATAGTGAAGAAATAACTATAAGACGTAAAGTTCATTTTTTTTTTAAAAAAAAAAAAAAAAATATTTCTATAAAAAATTAAATTATTACAAAACAAATACCATAAATGAATCTATTTTTACTCAATCATTTTCACGTGATATGATTTATATTAATAATAGTGATGATAATAAAACAATAGTAAAAGATGCTGTGACTAAAACGATTTTACTAGAATCACTGGAATCATTAGCTACTTTAACAGGAGAAGATTTAGTTTTATTACTTGAAGATTTATTTATTGTACTACCATTGCCCGCCAATTCCAGGTAAGGAGCGTTATCACCGACACATTGAGGTACAGTCATAATAGTCAAATTTGGAACCTTAACAGCTCTATCAAGCACGATAAGTGCGGCATCAACAGTTTGTGGGAAAAGATCATGTTCGAGAACGATAAACCCAGTGCTCATTGTAGGGAATTTTTGCATCCATGTTTCAAAGGTATCTATGACGGTGCTGATCGGTTTAGGAGGAGTGGCTGCGAGAGCCCAGTCATTGCTATCGAATTCAGGTACCCAAAGGACAGCTTCAAACGTTGCAAAATGTGTTAAATTAGAATTATTATTATTATTATTTTTTTTTTAACATGTAATTTTAAATTATCAACATACTTTTCAAACCGCAAGCACGAGTAATAGCACGAACACGATTATCAGTATCACCATACGGAGGGCGCATATATAATGGAGTGACACCGATAATGTCTTTAATAATCTGGATAAAGGAAACAAAAATTTACATGTTAACATTCGATAATTCACTACAAGTTTTTGGGAGGTCAATTAAAGCGAACCTTCTTTGTCCATAACAATTCGGCAATGATGGCTTCATCTGAAAGGGAGGTTAGTGCTGGATGAGACCACGTGTGCACACCGATATTATGTCCTAAACAATAAATAATAAGAAATTAGTTTTTAAGTTTTGATAAAAGAATTTTGAGGGAATAAGAAAATTGGTCATACCAGCATCATAAGCATCTTTGAGAATTTGAGGGTTTTGCGAAACCCGACTTCCTATAACGAATAGTGTAGCTTTAAGTTTTAAATCACTTAATTTACTTAATAATTTGGGTGTTGAAGCTGATGGACCGTCATCGTATGTCAATCCCCATGTACCAGTCTTTGGGCATTCTTGAATATCATCGTCCGCGGTGAATTTTTGACAAGTCCAAGAACCTTGATCTGGTTCAATTACAGTTGGGGGGTTACAATTAGCTGAAAAAGGGTTGGGGACGCCACCATTTGAAGCCGGAAGTTTTGGAACTTTAGACAAATCCAAACTTTTTACCCATTCTACAACTTGAGGATCTTTAACATCCGGTAATTTATCCATGGGTGGAAATGTTAAAGTTTGTCCATTGAAAGTTACAGTTGTACTCGGAACAGCAGCTGGGGGTGACGGTGTGGTGGGAGCTTGAGCATTTACTATACATAAAGTCGCAAGGACAGTCGCAAGAAAGGGAATTGTTTTCATTATTAAATATATTTTTAGAAGGGAGACAATCCTTTTTAATTTCTCAAGTATCTATCTATATCCTGTAACGACCTGCGTCTTAGAAAGTGATCGTTTGTTATGAGGTTGAATACAAGAAACCGAGTTCAGTATAAGAGTAGAGAGGAACTTGCGGTACTAAAAGGTCAGTGATTTTAAGAAAACCTGCAAGCAGGGATTTAGCAGTTTATAAGTTTTTATAATAAAATAAAATTCGAATAAATAAGCCCCCCTATTCTTTGATTTGCGATTCTAATTAAACTATGAAAAGATGTATTGTTAGATTAATTCAATTTTATTAATATCGCGGACGCACGACTTGTCCAATTATGGGTTTAGGTGATTTAAAACGCGACCATTTAATTAAAGATTTCACGTATATTTATTGAAAATCTTGCATTATCTTGTGAATTTATTATTTAATATGATCACACACAATATTACTAGAGGTGTCTTCTTTTGTTGCAAAATTTTTTTTTGCGATTTACAGTACATTAAAAAAATAAATTTAATCGGCGAGCTTGGCATCCAAATCGAGCACATTATTTTAATTACGAAGATCAACCAATCCAATTTAGGTTAATAAAATTCACGAGGAATGATTATCTAAAAACTTCACAAAAGTTATTTTTCGGATTCTTGGCAATTCGTAAATATACGGAATGCCAAGCATTTTCTGAAACAAGAAAAAAACTATATTTAAAGATGAAATGCGATAAAAATCCTTTGAATTCGTCAAACGATAATTGATAAATCTATCTTCGTGCGTTCTATTTTTACGAGCACCAAAAGTATTTAATAAAGTTTTTGCTTTCGGAAAATGTTTTATCCTAATTCATCCCTAACTGTTAGTTTAATAATCTGGACAAATGACGATACTTCTTATGACGATACTTCTTTTCGGCGAAAAATTTAAATTATTGATTTATGTGTTTGAAAAAGTTATTCCAAAGCTACTTTTTTTTTTTAAAAAAAAAAAAAAAAAAATTCATGCAATTCATGCTCCGCATCACGATTGAAGCAATAACCACAAAGAAAAAATAAATATTCTAACTTTTGTGTAATTTTTTATCTGAAATTTTATTGATCCGAGAAGATGCAACTATGATGTTAGCTCTATTTTAAGTCTGTACAATATGATCAAAGTTAAAATTGTTTCTATTTTCATCAAACATAATAATTTTATGAGCATTTAGTCCCACACAAAAGAAGATTTTAATTTTCGTTTGATCCATTTGAATAGAACCCTGATTTAGTATTTCTTATTTTCTGGAAGACAGATCTTTAATTGAACATAAATATAGTATGGGACAGATTGGACATAGTACGGAAAGGATTAGGAAGTAGTACGGGTTAATAAAAAAGGACTTACTCAGGTTTGCGCCTCAAACAACGAAGTGAAACTTTTTTTTTCACCTTACTAAATAATGAAAAGTCGAAGGTTAAAAAAAAAAAAAAGTCATGTGCTTTCAGTTCATTGATAATTGACAATCAGAATATCAAAATTAGCATCACAGTTATTTATTCAATAATCATTCCGATTAAGGTAAGGAATTCGGTTAAAATGGCCTAGTTTAGAAATATTTTTTTTTGGATTTATATAATTATTTTTAACCTACCAGATCTTATTATTATCTAGGGGGGAGTCTCGATTGCTCATTCCAAAAAAAAAAAAAAAAAAAATCCGTGCTAAAATCATCAAAAATTGGTCTCACAGTGTGAACCTTATTATAAATATTGTTTTAAAAGTTTTTAATATATACAGTGCGGGAACCTCTATAATTAGGAACTTTGAAAATCAAAAATAAATTGATTTATAAAAAGCCGTTCAATATTTCTAAAAAAAAATAAAGTTTTTTATATGATCATGTTACAAAATTAGTTTCAATTTTCAAAATCTTATAATAATTTACTTTTAATAAAAATTAACTAATACCGTATTGTTCTGAATTTAAGCATTAATACCTATTTATCTATTCTTTTAAAATTTAATTAATATATCAGAAAAATTATATTCTTTATATGATATTTTCATTTTCTCTCTAAATATATGCTTTTATTTAATTCTAAGTAATAGAAATCATATGAAAATTTTCTCTTTAAATGCATACCATTTTAAATTCATAACTAATTTGCAATATAATTATATAACAATTCAGTTACATTAGACTATTATCTAATTATGAATAAACAGTTACCTATTTATTATTTTCAGTACTTAATAACCTTTTTATGATTAAATTGTTAACTATTTATTTTCATTATTCTGTGATTTTTTTGTAATTAAATAATTATCCATATGTTTTTAGTACTTTATAACCTGTTAATTATCTATGTATTATAACACTTAGTAACCTTTTTGTGAAAAAATATAAAGATAATATAAAAATTTTTAATTTTATATAAAAAAAATATATATTTGATTATATGTTTACTGTATCTTATTGCATTTTATTTACCTAATCTTTCTTGCTATATTTTTAATTATATTTCTAAAATATAGGTATTTTACAGTAAAAAGAGAAAAAACTATCAAAAAATTTTTTAAATTAATGTTAAATCTGAATTTATTTTACTAAAAAAATAATATTTAACTTATAAAATAAAAAATTTTTTTGGTAGTTTTTTTTCTTTCAACTATATTTTCAATATATTTAAAAGATATTTAAAAAATATTTAAGATGCATTTAGTAAATCAATTAATCAAAGGTATAATATGCATTACTATATTCAATGCTTTTGATTACTAGGATAAAATAAGAAATGCTAAATTTACAATCTATTTACTTATTAAAATTATATTATAATTAAGATTGCTTATCTAACCTCATTTTAAATTTAATAAAATATCTAAATTTTAGTTTTATTAAGATTTGATATAGTTTCATATTTTTATAAGTTTTAATATAGTTTTACCTTTTTCTGAATTTTGCAAATTTTTTAAATTTTATCTAGCAACTTAGTCATAATTTTATTATTAGTTATTTCTTGATTATCAAATGAGAAACATAATGCTAAAATCATGTTATTCTTATAATTCTACTTTTATAGTCTATTTAATTATTAAAAAAGAGGCATAAATTGCTAAATTAGTTTAGACTATACCAAATTTATACTTTTTTTTTTATTTTTCTGATCTTTTTATCTTTTCAAACCTTTTTTACCTATTAGTTTATTATAAGTTTATAATAATATATATTTATATAACTATATAATTATTATATAAAGTGATGTATAATCTAAAGATTTTATTGTTTTTTTTAAAAAATTTTCATTAATAAAAAAATGAATAATATATAAAGTTTATATATTATTTTAAGCATTTTATCAAGATCCTTCTGAGTTTAAAATTTTATAACTTATTTTTTAGTATATTAAATATTTTAATATAAATTTTTTTAATAAAACTAAATTTTAAAATTTTATCATAAAGTCAAATTTTTTGTTTTATTATATGGGCCCTTCACAGCAAAAGGGGGAGATGGAATGATCATGTGATTTTGAGAAAAATCCTATTTAAGTCATGTAATCATTTTTTGGCGATCACTGCAGAAAAATTAAGATTTCTCAAAAATGGCCTTTATAACTTATGACGAAATTTCGCAAGAAATTAATTGATAGCATTAGCCTTTTTTTAATACATTTATTTTACTTATATCATGAAATGTGTAAATGTATAGCCTTAATGAAGTTTGCATATTATTTAGTAAAAAATCGTTAAATTAATTCATTTCGCAAACATATTGATTTGAAATCAAAAGTATAAAATAATAACTAATTCATCTCGAAAACATTATTTATATAAGATCAGAGATATAAAAAATACTTAATAAGCAAAAAAATAGAAACTTTATTTGTACATTTTTGAATCTATCTATATAGTTAAAGTTTAATTTGTTTCAGATTCGTTTGGTTTAGGACAAGTAATATCATGAAAGGGTAAATCAACGTAGAGTGCAATTTCTTTATACAATTCCTCCTGCCTTTTCAAAGAAAGTAATCTAGTACTAATTGTAAAGGGTAGAATATTAGAATCAAAGGAAAATGTGCGAAGTACAGCTTTTTTATAATCATCTTCAATTTTAACTTTATAAAAAACAACTCCGGGATATTGTGAAGTAAAATAAAAATGATGGTACTTTTGAATATTAGATAATTTTTGAACCTCTCGAAGTAAGCTTTAAAATTATAATATTAGAAACCTTCTCCATTCAAATAACGTTGAGCAACATTAAGATGAACTATAGTAGAACAATTAACAACTGAAACTACATCATCCACAGTATTTACTCTACTTTTACAATAAAGAATCTTAATTAGACCAAAATAGCTATTGCAAATAAACTTCGTGTGTTCAGGTATCATAAAATTTAACTCAACCTCGTCATATATACTACGATCAATTAACTATAAATAAAAAAATAAAGAATAGTTGTTTTTGTTTTGGCCTACACAATTATCACATGTAATAACTAATTTTTTTTCTCCACAATTATATTTCTGAATTGCATGCTAAACTAAACTTAGTGTACAATTTACACCCTTTTCTTGTTTGCCATCATCAGGCATTTCAGTCTCATCAATTATATAATTAGTCTGTTCTGTATGAGGAAAATTACCAGTATTGCAAACTCTAAACAAATGCACTTTTTGAGGACTTTTAAAAAATAAAGATCCTACTTGCTGTGGTGAATAAGGAATTTGCATATTTTGAGCCCAATCATATGCAATATGAGCACTACCTTCAAAAGTCTTAAATAATATTTAAGAGTTGTTTATATTAGGATTACATTTGCCATTCTTAACCGCATATATAATATTAGCATTATAATAATTACGTTCTTGTTTTGTATGATTTAAATAAGCCAAATAATTCTTTGTAATTGCCAATTTCTTTTCATCCTCTCTAGCATACTGAATGTCTAATTTCATTAATTTACAGGTTTCGCACAGGTCAGATTTTGGAGTCATAAATTGAAGTG